CATATAGAAAAAAAAGAAATTTGGAAAAAATATGAAATTTAGATTTTCTTATATGGCAATTATTGCTGGATTAAAAGAACTTGATGAACTTGAAGAAAGTGAAGGCTTATTTAATGAAAGTGATTTTGATGAATTAAGTGAAAGTGACAATGAAGAGAATGTCAAATTAACTAAAAGTCTTGAAGATATTAATACAGAATTACAAAAACGTGCTGATAATTATCAAGCACCAACAACGTATGAAAAAAACATTTTTTTTTATTCTTTAATCAATAGGAAAATATTCTTTTTTTGTGAATTAGGAATGATACTGAAACTTCACTTCGTCTTCGTCTAGAACGTTTAAAACGTAATGAAGCTATTGAAAAAAAAGTGAATGAAATGAAAGCGAAATTACATGAACAAACTCAGCCTTCATCATTACATCATAATAAGAATACATCGATTTTAACACTTTTGTTAACAAAATATCGTCGTCCATTTTTTATTGGTTTATTTACATTATTAACTGGATCAATTTGTTTATATAAATTTAGCATGAATAGTGATCGAACTCATTGAATCTCTTTTTTCTTTTGTTAAAAATTTTTTTTTCTTTTGTATTTCTTCATATTAGAAACAAAAAGAACGAATTAAATCAAAACTCATGATAATTATACATATATACATGCAGATATCTTTTTATTACATAATAAAATCGAATATAAAAAGATTTCGATATTTTTCTTTACAAAAGAAAAACAAATAAAAAAAGCTTACGACACTCGGTATTCCCAGGCGGTCACCCATCCAAGTACTAACCGAGCCCGACGTTGCTTAACTTCAGTGATCGGACGAGAACTGGTGTATTCAACGTGGTATGGCCGTAGGCGATATTTTTTTATATTTCCAATTGTTCCATCAATTTCGAATTAGTTATTATTAATTTGTTCTTTTTGTTTATATTTTCATAACACAGAAAAATAAAAAATATTTCATAGATGTTTTTTTCCAGGTAGTCTAGGAAGAAAAGGTGCACATTTATTACTAATCATTTATTATTTTTATTCAAATGACAGTTATCATAAAACTAATATTTCATCATATTAATTAATTTTTTTTTTCATATACAGAACTAGATAAAAAATATCTAATGATAAAAATGTATTTTGATATTCTGATAGTTTGTGTTATTTAAACGCACCTGTGGCTGTTGAGTACAATACTATATATGATTTTTTTCTAAGAACTTTTTTGTTTTGAAATTCATATTCGTAACTATTACGCATGAATAATAGTAAGTACAAACAACAAGTTTGCAAATAACCTTGAAGAAAAAGTGCGTTGATATAGATATAGATTTACGTTTCGTCGCTAATGTATGTAAAAGTTTATATGTTGTCATTGATGATGCAGTTTCTGACGTAATTCACATGAGTAATTATATTTTTATAAAAAAAAATATACGACGCAATAGTTAGAATATTAGCCTGCGATTTGTATAATATTACGATTGTCTTATTCATCTATTCTCATTGTCAGATTTATCTTTGTCTTAAATCATCCTAGTATTGTACAGATGCGCTTTTATGATTATAACACGTCGTAATTTATTGTATACTTACTGTACTATACTGTCTCTTCCTTTCTTTAATATATTCGTAATGCGCAATTTTTACTTTATACTTACGCACCTCTATAAAAATAAATCTATATTAAGAAAACTTTCTTCTATAATCAATAGATAAACAAACATTTTACTTGTTTTCTCCAATATTTTTGGTCTGAAAATAAACCAATAAAAATATACGATATCATATTAGCGAGTGCAAAATCCAAAGAAAATACGTATATTGATAATTAGTTTCATTTTTTATTTCAAATTTAATCAAAAAAAAAGTTTTTTTTCTATGCATGAACGTACAATCAAATATTCTTTCTTTATTGTCTTATTTATTACCTTTGACGTTAATAACTTCTTTTTCTAATATACCTTTCAATGCAATATTATAGATATACACTATACCCTTGATTTGATCAAGGTGTGTTATATTATATGAATGTATTGTTTGATAGTATGACTACTTTTCTAATATGATGTGCATAGATAGTTATGATAACGATATGCAAAAGTTTATTGTATAAAACTGTATAAGATAAAAATTATCACAAGATAAGTGATATTGATATTTAACAATATAATAGAATCTTTTAAATTCTTCACTTTATTATACAGAAGAAAAAAACAAGAGAAGATATGAAAAAGTATTTCTATACATTACACATGTTTAGTACATAGAAATATGAGCGATATATGTTAAAATTTTTTCAAAGAAGAAATAAGTTTCAATATATTCTTCATTTTGATTGACGCGTCCAATTGAATGTATAAACATGTTAATAGATCACTAACATCCAGCTAAATAACAAAATATATTTACATACAATAAAATCCACAAGATGTAGATCGTAAACGAAAGAATATTTGTTTTGATTGTAATGGTGGTGGTGGTGGTGGTAAGCCATCAATAAATACGTAATTAATTAAAATCTTATTTACACATAAAAGAATAACAAAAAATAAGTTTTAAATTAATGCTTGTCATAGAGCTTGTCCAAGTCCAGTTAAATAATATGCATTAGCAATATGATCGTCATCTTTGTCCGTATCATGAGAAAGACCATGGTCTGAATCAAAAACGTTTTCCAGAAACACACCCAATGATGTAAGTAACAAAGCCACTTTCATAACAACTGGAGCCAAAACCAACATTATTTGCAGTTTATTAAACACGAAGCAATTGATAACAAAAGAAATATATGAAATTCTGATATGAAACAAGTTACCTTTATAGCTGAATAAAACTTATTCATCCATGACGAAAACATGACTAAAATCATGCACATGTATTTTTATACCTTTTTTTCTCTTACTGGATGACTCAATATAGACATCGATAAAAAACAATCTAGCAGATAATTTCTTGTTTTACTCATGTATCATTGACAATTGATGACGACTATACATGAAGTTATATGGATAAAAAAAAGAATGAAATCAATATTACGAAATATTATCGCTTCATTATATAACAGCAAGGACAACAAAAAAAAACTTATTTTAATAATTTATTTAAACTTAAAATGAAATATAAAAAATTTGAATCGAACAAAATAAAAAAATATATTTTTCCGAGTGCTAATTAGTCAACCATAACAAACATCATTAACCGATTTCTGTCATTACCTTTTAATTCATTGTATTTACCGTTTTCTAACAACGCAATATAGTGTCTTAAAACAAAATAGCTGTCATAAATATTAAAAAATATTTACCACAAAATAAAAGGAAATATATGCTACTGTATGTTTTCGATATCTTATCCTTCAAGGTCGAGTATTATTATTCCTAATGCATTCTTATCCTTCAATACACATGCTCTATAATAAATGTAAAGAAAAAATTTAATATTTATTTTATGCTGTATTAATCAAGAGTAATTCAGAAACTTAATAATCGAATAAGAAATTCCAATAATTGACTAACTTCTCAATGTGTACTATTACTTACAAAATGATGATTTTCTTCTCTTATTCTATCGACAACAATTGACGAGAATCTAACAAGAAATATTAATACGATATAGAATAGGTAACTATTATAAAGATTATTAAATTGTCAACATTAGTTCTTTGTTTTGGATACACAAATTCTATGAATTATATTATTATTATCTGTTATAAAACAATGATCTCTATTAAATTTCGTATTATTAATATTTTTGCAGACATAATACGCAGAATTAAATAATTTACGTTGTAATTGCGAATAAAAATTATGGTTTTTTTTCGTGCTAACTCATATTGTCAGTTTTAATATTTATTCGTAATACGACAATTACGTCAAAGATGATTCTATTTTTATAGTAGATCAATCAATAATATTCAAAAAGTCCGTTATAAGTATATACTTGTTACGGATGTATTTAGTCTTAAAGAAAGATTTTACAATTACAGTACAAATTATTAACACGTTCATCTATCGTCTATATTATTTTTATCTAAGCGAAGAAAATTATTTCGATCTACTGAACCAAACAATATAAAAACTTTTGCATCATTGACTATGAATTAAACAGTTCATTGAATCAATCTTTATTTGATTATTAAATGCATGTCATACTCTATTATAATAGTATATCGATATAATTTCTTAATAAAGAGATAAATTTCATCCATACAAATTCTAATGTTGAATTTACATATATTTCTATAAGTGTTGAAATATATATATATGTCATATATAAATTACTGTCTATTTCAAAATAGAGCAGACGGGTGAGTAGTTTTTTTCAGTAGGAACAAGATAGAAAGCTTCGATTTTCGCTGTGCGAAAGAAACGATGAAGATGCATTGAAACTATCTTTTTAACGTATGAGAAAATGTCTGACTGCAACTGTTAGAGAAATATTTCGACGGGTTTTCATCGCCTTTTTCAGAAATGAAAACCACAGGTCGTTATGTTGTTCTTATATAAGAATAAATCTTCATATAATCAATTGATTAAGATATTCACAATAAAATTGTAGAATTATCCTGGAATATAATCATTTTATTATAATTGAAAGTTTTTTTTTGCGAAATATAGATATAATTTGTTCATACTGTTCATTGTTAATCGTATACACTTATTGACAAAATGTCAAATTTGGAAAAGAATATTGACATGTACATATACATAAATATTGAAGAGAACAAAATAAAAGAAAAATTTTGTACCACAGCAATTGATACGACAACAAAACCATAGAGTAGAAGAAGAAGAAGAACAGAAAAAAAAGTATTGTGTTTTAATGACATAAATACACGCTCAACGACAATGATACTACCACAGGTACATTATTTAGCACCATATATTCTATTGGATTAAGGAAAAATAAAGAACTGCAATACTAAGATAAATAAAAACATAGAATTTTGCATCAAATTAACACCGGAATATTATTAATCAACAAGATAAATCACCGTTTAGATCCATAAGATATTTCTAAAAAAAGAATTTTTTCAATTGAATTATTTTTATATCAATAATAAATCAAAAACATACTATTATTTTCAGATACATTCATCGATAATTCAGATGTAGATGAACTAAGATAAGCATCATTTGACTAAAAACAAATAAATATACAAAACATTTTTATTTCAATAAATTTTTTCTTTCGACATACAACAATAAATGTTGCTTTTGATTGTGTAACTACTTTTAATATTCCACATTCATCAAATTTAATATCTTCATCATTTTCTGATATCATTTCAAATATATCATTTGTTGTTCGACATTTTTGTCTACTAGATATATCTAGAAGGCACGAAAAGAAACCATCCATACATTCAAAAATAAAATTATCTTACTCACCTACACCTGATGCTGTTCGTAATAAAGAAAATATTCTTTGATTATCATAATGACCAACTAAATCATTTAAATTCAATGGTATTAAAGAATCATTCTAAATTCAAATAAATAGAGAATAACAACAACAAAAAAAACTTCTTTCTAAACATACAACATAAAAAATAAATTGTCCAAGTGTATATTTAAATTTATCAAATATTGGTTGTAAGATTTGTAATAATGTTCGTTTTGGATCACAACGTACGCATAAGATTTTCGTTGGTAGATCAATACGAACTAATATACGAGTTTCAACATATATATCTTTTCCACATAAACTTGATAATGGTTCTTGAAGATCAATAGATTGCTAAAAAATTAATATATACACAAATTATCATATTGATAAAATACACATATATTAACCCTTTGCCCCCCCCCCCCAGCGATTCTTATAAAAATTTGAAAGACGCGCCATCTTATAGAGCTCGATGAAATCTATCTGTCATACTAGTCCGTAAGTCTAATTTTTTACAAGAAATGCTTGGACACATATATGTGTCGCCGGAAGTCAAAGGGCTGAATAAAATATTTACCTGATCAGCTAGATATAATTCAGTTCGATACCATGTTATTCCACGTTTTGCAAATAAACGATTAATAGCATGTTGTATAGTATTTGTTTCATTACATGCTAAAAAAATTGTTGATGTTGAATCAGGAAAAATAAAACGACAAAAACGAGATGAATCTATTGATGTTGCTAATGGATGTTCCTGTAAAAAAATAAAATCAAATTATTTATTATTATTTATATTAAATAAGAAAAATAAAAATGAACTGACAATAATTGTTTTTTTTTCACTTTGATCTTGATTTATATCTGAACGTGAAATCAAATTACACAATGATAAATCTTGTTGATTAATATTTGATGAATATTTATTTATTATTTTATTTGAATTTCCTATTGTTATTAATGGAGATTTTGTTGGACTTTGAAGTGAAAATGATGATAGGGATGATGATGTTATTGGAATTTTAATTATATTTGATATTGATGTTAATTCTACTGATGCTGATTTATTTGTTATTGATTGATTAGAGTTTTCATAGAAGAATGTATTTGTACTAGCATTTGCAGTTTGATGAATATTGGACGATGATGAGGGTGTATCACGTTTAACTAAATTTAATTTATTAGTTTTTGTTTTTGAAAAATTAATTATCAAATTAAAAAAAAAAAGATCTAATTTTTGTTTTAGAAAATATGTACTTATCTACCTGATGAAAGTAAAAAAGACACTGAAATACACTAATCATCAATGGAATCTTCGTTGAGCGCATTACTCGCCGAGGTTGACACTGCAAGGAAGAGATTAATCGATATCGAGAGAACTGTATAATTAACTAGATGGTGAAGAAAATAAATATAGGAGGGTAGGTATATATGGTGAGTGGGAGGGAACTAAAAGAAGAACAAGCGTTTTACTATGTGCAAGCATATCAATAAAAATAATTTTCATTGTTGTTGTTGTATTATATATTACAAAATAAGACAAAACCACAACAATGAAAATTAATAC